AAATCACAACTAAAAACATCTATTTCTGCTTTATTGACTACGCCAAAGCCTTCAACTGTGTGGATCACAATAAACTGTGGAAAATTCTGAAAGAGATGGGAATACCAGACCACCTGACCTGCCTCTTGAGAAACCTATATGCAGGTCAGGAAGCAACAGTTAGAACTGGACATGGACCAACAGACTGGTTCCAAATAGGAAAAGGAGAACATCAAGGCTGTATATTGTCACCCTGCTTATTTAACTTATATGCAGAGTACATCATGAGAAACGCTGGGCTGGAGGAAGCACAAGCTGGAATCAAGATTGCTGGGAGAAATATCAATAACCTCAGATATGCAGATGACACCACTCTCATGGCAGAAAGTGAAGAGGAACTAAAGAGCCTCTTGATGAAAGTGAAAGAGGAGAGTGAAAAAGTTGGCTTAAAGCTCAACATTCAGAAAACTAAGATCATGGCATCTGGTCCCATCACTTCATGGGAAATAGATGGGGAAACAGTGGAAACAGTGGAAACAGTGTTAGACTTTATTTTGGGGGGCTCCAAAATCACTGCAGATGGTGATTGCAGCCATGAAATTAAAAGACGCTTACTCCTTGGAAGGAAAGTTATGACCAACCTAGATAGCATATTAAAAAGCAGAGACATTACTTTGCCAACAAAGGTCCATCTAGTCAAGGCTATGGTTTTTCCAGTGACCATGTATGGATGTGAAAGTTTGTCTGTGAAGAAAGATGAGTACCAAAGAATTAATGCTTTTGAACTGTGGTGTTGGAGAAGACTCTTGAGAGTCCCTTGGATTTCAAGGAGATCCAACCAGTCCATCCTAAAGGAGATCAGTCCTGGGTGTTCAGTGGAAGGACTGATGCTGAAGCTGAAACTCCAATACTTTGGCCACCTCATGTGAAGAGTTGACTCATTGGAAAAGACCCTGATACTGGGAGGGATTGGGGGCAGGAGGAGAAGGGGACGACAGAGGATGAGATGGCTGGATGGCATCACCCACTCGATGGGCATGAGTTTTAGTAAACTCTGGGAGTTGGTGATGGACAGGGAGGCCTGGCGTGCTGCAATTTATGGGGTCACAAAGAGTCGGACACGAATGAGCAACTGAACTGAACTGAACAGAAACTGCATTACAATTTGAGAACCAACAGGTTATAGTTGCCTAGGTAATAAAAAAAAAATCTTATATTTCCCATGGGAAACTGGCAATAATAGCTTTATGTATTTATTATTCATATTTTGCAACAGAGTAAAAAGGTCCCCCCCAATAAGATGCACTTGAAAGTATGTGATCTGTGATGCAATCTGAATAATGTCTTTTGTATAAAATGCTACTACTAGGTTTTTGGGAAAGAGATGAGTCTCTAAATCTTTAAGAAAGACCAAAGTCTTTATAAACAAATGAATAACAGTTCAAAGAGGAAACTCATGTACTAAATAAAGAATAGCTAGTAAGAAAGAAGGTTCTGACGTCAGTTCTAGGCAGGAATCAGAGAATTCTGCCCAACTTTTGCTGAAAATTCTTGGTTTTTGCCAGGAAAAGCAGCATAGAATTCAAAATAAATAAAATGGAAGCTTCATGAGAGGAGGATCCTAGACCTGAGTCTAATGCCAAAAGGTGTTCAATAAATATCTGCGACATAACTGAAAGAATACACTTGTCAAAGAATCAAGAAGCCCAACTCTTCAAAAGATCAGACATATACTCTAAAGCACTTTAATAAGACTTGTCCCCTAAGTTGAGCAAAGCTAAACTGTATTATTCTTTCCTCCTGGCATATACACACCCTGTGCCTTCTGAGTCCTCATGTATACAAGGAGTTTCTGTTCACTCTGTAACCTGAGTGAAGTGTGCATAGCTGCTTGACCTACCAAGTTAAGAGATAAAAGCCAAAATAGGGTGAACTTCAAAATGTGCCTTAAGCTCCACAGAGTTAGTAGTAAAAGCTGATATTCTCTGTACCACTACACATAATCCTAAAGTTTTCCTAAAATATATAAAGTCTTTTTTTTTTATAAGAAACACTACTAAGAGCCAAAGCAAAATTTTCAGAACAGAATGGCATGAGAGGAAAGCAATGAGGGCCATCAGGGAATGCTCTTGGCTTCCCATGGTGACATTTGTTTCTGATTATATATATAACATTAAATACTTTCTTCCTGGAGTCTAAGGCTTTTAAGAAAGGAAATAAATCAGATACATTTTCTTTCTAATTTGTGATATCCAAAGGCATATTTCCTGGTTTCTGCAGTCCTGACTACCAAAGCCAGAAAACAGGTCTTTAAAATAAGCCTTTAGGTTCCTGCCTATTTTAATTCCCTTCTCTGGGCCTAAAGACATTTTAATAGAAGATATCAAATAACTCATTTTTCTCCATACCTAGGCATATTTACCTTCCATTGAAAGATAGTCTGATATAATATCTATACAATAGTATTTTCTCAAAGTTCAGATAAGAGATATACAAAATTTGACATGGGATTTAAATGCCCTTCCCTTTAATGAAATGGATAGGGAAGTCTAATGTGTATTTTTCAACCCCACTAGGAAATTGATGAAAATGAAAGAGGAGAGTGAAAAAGTTGGCTTAAAGCTCAACATTCAGAAAACTAAGATCATGGCCTCCAGTCCCATCACTTCATGGCAAATAGATGGGGAAAAAGTAGAAACAGTGTCAGACTTTATTTGGGGGGGGCTCCAAAATCACTGCAGATGGTGACTGCAGCCATGAAATTAAAAGACGCTTACTCCTTGAAAGGAAAGTTATGACCAACCTAGACAGCATATTAAAAAGCAGAGACATTACTTTGCCAACAAAAGTCCATCTAGTCAAGGCTATGGTTTTTCCAGTGGTCATGTATGGATGTGAGAGTTGGACTATAAAGAAAGCTGAGCACAGAAGAATTGATGCCTTTGAACTGTGGTGTTGGAGAAGACTCTTGACAGTCCCTTGGACTGCAAGGAGATCCAACCAGTCCATCCTACAGGAGACCAGTCCTGGGTGTTCATTGGAAGGACTGATGCTGAAGCTGAAACTCCAGTACTTTGACCACCTCATGTAAAGAGTTGACTCATTGGAAAAGACCCTAATGCTGGGAAAGATTGAGGGCAGGAGGAGAAGGGGATGACAGAGGATGAGATGGCTGGATGGCATCACCAACTTGATGGACACGAGTTTGAGTAGACTCCAGGAACTGGTGATGGACAGGGAGGCCTGGCGTGCTGCGATTCATGGGGTGGCAAAGAGTTGGACACGACTGAGAGACTGAACTGAACTGAACTGAAAGCAATTAACGCAGTTCTGAAATTACCTATCTAGAGACAAGATCACAGATCTCAGAGACCAAGGACTCAGTTCCACAAAACTGCTGCCCGCCTCTTCCCCTCCTTCCAACTCCACCCCACCCCCACACACTTCAGAGGCCAATTGCAAGTCCAGGTTGTAACTTGTGCTTCTATTAATATCAGTCAGCTATATAGTGAAAGTTCCCTTGATCACCATCTTTGGGTTCCATTATTTTGCTAGAGCTGCTCACAGAACTCAGGGAAGCATTTACTTAACCATTTTATTACAAAGGATATGGGTAAACAGTCAGATGAAGAGGTACCCAGGGCAAGGTGTGTGGGACAGGATGCAGAGCTTCCATGCCCACTCTTAGCTGCCCCTCTCCCCCCATTTCCACCTGTTCACCAACTCAGAAGTTCTCCACACCCCTGTCCTTTGTTTCCACAGAGGCTTCAGTATGTAGGCAAGGCTGATTAAACTCTTGAGCTTTGGTGATAGACTCAACCTTTGTTCCGCTGCCCTCCCAGGAAATCAGGGGGTGGGTCTGAAAGTTCCAATCCTCTAATCGCAAGGCTGGTTCTTCTGGGAATAGGACCCATCCTTAAGTTACAAAGGTGCTACCAAAAAGTTACCTCATTAACGTAACAAAAGGCATCTTTATCCTTCTCACCACTTGGGAAACTTCAAGGTTTTAGGAGCTCTGTGCCAGGAATGGGGACAAAGGCAAAATATATATGTGTGTGTGTGTGTGTATAAAATTTTTATTATAAATCATAACACCACAGGTAGAAAGAAAAACAATTATAAACTAAGTGAATCCCCTACACTGAGAGTGACATATTCTTACCCATTTATAGAAACGGACACAAAAACAGATACACTACCTATGCTCCCACGGCTCTGACAACCAACACACACCAGGGAAGCACTCAACAGAGGGATACCTTCAGACCTTCGGAGAGACACGGAAAGGAGGCAAAAGGCACAAAATAGACATAGAATGTGTATTACTTGCAAAGGATGCCAGGCAGCCAGCAGCATACGCAGGCACACGGGCAGTGCCAGGCAAACCCAGAGGGGTCTCGCTGGAGTGTGGAACTCCGTGTCTGTCGGTGTTTCCCTCTCTCACACACACACACGCCCCAACACACGCCCTCCTCTCTCCCTCACAAACGCATACATCCTGCCTTTCTCAGCCTCGCTCACACGGTCCCTGTCTAGCAGGCTCTCACACACGAACACGGGCTCTCACAGACAGTCTCTCCTATTGCACACACCATCTCTTACACACAGTCTCTCACGGTGGTTGTACTGCACTCACACACAAAATTTCTCTCGCATAGTCTCTCACACGGTCTCTCACGCACAGCTCCTCTCTCGTACAGAACGTCACACACACAGTCTTTTAACGTACACAGTCTCACACACGCTGCCTCTCCAGTCACCCTCACACGCGCGCGCGCCCTTGGCCCCGCCCCTCCGTGGCCCCGCCCCCCCGGGCGAGCTCCGCCCCGACGGCTGAGGGCGGGGCGAGCCCGTGACTCGAGGGGCCGAGCCTGGCGGGTACTTGTGGCGCCCCGGCCGGCGGGGCGCGCTCTGGAGGCGCCTGTCAGTGGCGAGCGCGGACGACCCTACGGCGGCCCTCGGGCGTTTGGTCGCTGCCTCCGGCTTGGCGGCCGTCCAGGGCGGCAGAAGTTGGCGGTGGGATGTGCTCGGCCGGGCAGCTGCTAGGCGGCGGCGGTGGCGGAGGCAGCGGCGGGGAGCGCGACGAAGACCGAGACGCGCTGGCCAAGCGAGCGGCGGCGGGGACCGAGCAGGAGTCCGGGGCGAGCCCGCGGCGGCGCGGGCGGCGGCCTCCGGAGGAGCGGGAGCAGGTGAGCCGGCCGGGGCGGCGCGGTCCGGCCGGTTTCCCGAGCCCCACGCGGTGGCGGAGGGAAGTGGCCCGGCGGGAGGGCGGCGCCCGGGCTGCGGTCGGCTTGGGGAGCTGGGCTCCGCGGCGTTGGGGGAAGCCGAACAGTTGACCCCGAGAGCAGTTGACGGCGCGCCCAGGGCGGGCCGCGGGGTCGCGTGCCGAGGGCCGACCCGGAGTCGCGTGCCTGGCTGGGTGAGCGCCGCCCTTTCCCACGCGTCTGGCGGAGAGGATTCTCAGGCCAGAGCCCGGGGAAGTGCCCTCCATAACGGTCACTTATCTGAAAGCCTTACATGTAAACACTCTTCCACTTGGAATCGGTTCCCCGGGGCTGTGTTTTGGGGGCCAGCGACTCCCCTCCCGCCTTCCATCTTGGCATTTCTGAACACACCTAGCGCCTCTGTACGGTGTAGGTGTATTTCTGTAGCCATGCAGTCAGTGTCTGAAGCATGTGTAGGAGCGACTATTACAATGCATGTCTTGACGGGGACTCTCCCAGAGCAAGTTTTTCACAGGAACAGAAAGGAGATCTAAACTTCATTGAAAAACTGAAAAAGCCGGAAAATTGCTTTCACTTGTTACCAAAGGGGGAATAAGCATGAGTCCAGCCATAATAAAGGAAAGAGAAGTTGGGCAGTTTTTGATACTCTGAATTTGCTTGCACTAAATAAAATATGGTGATAATAGGCATTATAGCATTTATCTTCACAATTAGGCAAGACGTTTAATGAAGGAAATTGAATTATCCCACATAGTGGGATGCATTTTCACCATCAAATACAGTAGACCTTCAAAAATACCTGAGATTAGTTTACACTCAGAATCTCATTAAAGCGCATAATCCCATTAAAATTATCGTTTGCCTTTATTACAGGGTATACTGTTGAGATCAATTGATACCTGTCTCCTCTCATTATTCATCAGCATCTTTTTGTCACATTTCACAAATTCCAACATCACTAAATGCATTAATACATAAAGTATAATTTCTCTGCCTTGTGTTTAGGGAACAGAAATAACCATGTGGCAGGCACAAAATATGCCTTAGCATTAGGTTTGCTCACCATGTGGAAGTGTAATTTTTCATTCTTTTGACGATATAGGAGATGGTAACTGAAGCATATAATTGGTAGCTATGAGATTTTCCTGACTAGTTTCCTGACGGTTTTCCCCCATTAACTACACCATGACTCAGTAGCTAAAGGGCTGTTTCTTTTCACTCTAGTTGTTCAACTGGCAAAGTGAAGAAAACAGCAACAGAAACTCCCTGGGACGGGGAAAATATATTTGAACTGAAGGTCCCAAAGTAATTTTCAAGTGGTTGTAAGGGAGTATGTAAAATACTTCATCTAAGCTTTTGTGGATTTTTCAGCAGCAGCAGCTCTGGTCTTAAGAGAATTGCTTATGGTACACAAAAAGGGATGAAACAAAAAAAAAGAATGAAACATATACCCTAGGAAACAGATACACTTTGCATACCTGCCTCTATCATTGTATGTCATGGAAATTTATTTCCCTATACTCCTGTGAAAATGTTATCATTTTTTTAATCACATGATTTATTTATGTACTCTAAGCCCATGTACACAATACTTGAAAATTACACCTGAGATATGCGTTCCCTCCTAATAATATATATACACCAAAGAACTTCTCATAAGTAAGTCAAAAATAAACGAGAAATTGATACAACCCAACCCATTGGTGTAAGAAACAAGCTTTTGTGATAAATCACTTCTTGGTAATGAAAGGTGTTAGTCTCATTCGTGTCCAGCTCTTTGCAACCCCATGAACTGTATCCTTCCAGGCTCCTCTGTCCATGGGATTCTCCAGGCGAGAATGCTAGAGTGGGTTGCCATGCCCTCCTCCATGGGATCTTGCCAACCCAAGGATGGAAGTCTCCTGGACTCCTCCATTGCAGGTGGATTTTTTGCCATCTGAGCTATCAGGGAAGCAATAAATGTAACTTTTTTTCAAATGCTGAAAATGAAATTTAAAATGTATATGCACTGTCTTGTAATGACAGTAGAGACATAAAGATATTTTGAGGAAGAGGTAGATGAAGTTAACAACTAAAACATAACCTACGGAGTTGCTTTAATGTGCAGATTAATTAATTAATGTGCACACAATAGGCAGATTGTGTGTGTGTGTGTTTGCTGCTTTAAGGACAACATGTGGACTCCAAATTACAAATGGAGTACTTTTGAAAATTTGGTTTCTAAACTTGTTAATATTTAGAACTTGGAGTGAACTTTTCCATAGAAACAATGATAGAAACAGAAACAAAACCAAAACTAATTAGATGGAAATGAGACAGAGGCCATCTCCTTGCTGTCCTTTCTGCTTGACGCACTCAATATTCCAGAATCTGAGTAGCCTCATGGACGTTAAGAGAGAATGGGTAGCAGCCGCCGCAGTAGTAGCAGAGCCTCCCTTATATCTGGACCAGGGTTACAGGTGGTGTCTTCTTGAATGCAATAGCTCCAGAAGGCACCCCACTTTTGCTCCTCCAGCTCTTTCAAAGATTTTTGTCAGCCCCTAATTTTCTGTATTAAATCACTTTCTATTTTTAGTTCCTTCGCAGTTTGCCCTTACCTGATAATTTGATGAAGCATGTTTCTTCCTTTGGCTCTTTCCCAGGCTGAAGTCTCCTCCACGTACATCTTTCCCTTCGCTGATTTTTCTTTACATTGTTGACTCACAAGCTCTTGCCCTTCCTTCAACCTGGAGGGTTCTTACATCAGCTTTGATTATACAAAATGTATCTTTGGCTCATTGTTATTATGATACCAGATAAAAGTGGTATTTATTTCATGTAGTACCAAAATACTGGTATTTATATAGGTGTTTTCTCAGTAGCTGAGATCTTGTCAGCATTTTTTTTTTTTTTTTACAATTTATCCTTAAATCCTACTCCATCTGAGAGAAAAACTAAGGTTCCTCTGTCCTTCTCACCTGAATCTTCCCAGGTAGGATGACTGACAAGGCAGCCTGTGTCCTGGGAAAGGAGGACTTGAAAGACTGGACCAGGTTCCCCAGATGAAGGAACTGTGTCAAGTCTGAAGTAGGAATTTGGCCTCAGAGAGGAAAGCCAGGAGACAGGCAAAATGCCCAAGGAACTGAAGGGACAGGACACAGCTGTCCTCAGTGTGTGTTGGTAACTGTGGGCATGAGAGATGATCAAAATAAGTTCTGATTCTGAATGCCAGGTCCCTTAGAATCTCTGCTCTGCTGTATACCTAGAAAGTTAAAGTCTCCAGTCCTTTTATCACATTTATGTATATAATGTGAGTGGCATCCACTTAGACATGGCATTCACAACCTGAATAACCTAAGATGTCCCTGCCATCTTAGAGTATAGGAAGGAACCACTATTCTTGGATTGACTTTAGAATCATTATTTTTAGGCTTAAGGTCTTTATGATTATGTGTTATGTACTTTGGAAAGTGTAGAAATATAGAACAATCTAAAGAAGAAAAGAGCATTTGAAATCTCACTGAGTAATATTGTGCTTGCTATAAAATATGAAAATTTGGTGTTACTGCATTCATATATCTGTGTGTGTGTGTATACAGATATATACACATTTTTAAACAGGTTTTTATGTAATATTTGAATGTTGTATCTTGTTTTATCTACCTACTCATATTGTGCCATTTTCCAATTTTGTAAAAAATTCTTTTCAAAAATTATTTTTAGGGCTACTTGTCATTCCCCTAATACTACATATTTAATTTGCTTCAAACTCTCTTTTATAGATAACACTGTAATAAAAACCTTTGCTTATTAAGCTCTATCTTGTTGTCACAGTTCCTCACAGTTCTACCTTAGAATAAATTTCTAGAAGTGGAAGTCCTAGGTCAGTAAGTCAAACTCTTTGAAGTCTCTTGAAACATCCTAAAGAATTCCATTCAGGAAAGCCTGCACCAGTGTACACTTCTGGCATTAGTATGTAAGAGTGTCAGTTAGAAGCCATCCAAGTCAGCAATGATTTAATTTATAGATTAATCTTTGCCAGTTTAGTAAGCAAAAATTATCTTATTGTCATAAGATATTGCTAGAGAGGTTTACTAAACCATTCATATATTTATTGAGCATCTGCATTTTTTTTTTCTATTTTAAAGCTGTTACTTATTTATTTGTTTTTGGCCGCGCTGGGTGTTCCTAACTGCACACCAGCTCCAGTAGTTGTGACCACAGGCTTAGTTGCCCTGCAGCAGGTGGACTCTCACTATTCCAGGGACTGAATTCGTAGCCCCCTGCATCGGCAGGCAGATTCTTAACCTCTGGACCACCAGGGAAGCCTTGTATTTCTTTTTAATCATGCTCTTTGACCATTGTTTTCTTTTGGCATTATTGTAAGATATTAATGCCATATTTCACATTGCTTATAATTATTTTCCTGCTTGCTATTTACTTGCTAATTTTATGATGTTTTTGATTTAGAAATGCTTTAAATTTTTATTAGCCAAAGGAATACTTTTGGTAATTTCATACACACATCTTACACCCTCACACATGCGCGCGCACACACACACACACACACACATATATATATTTCTTTAGAACATTCTTTCTAATCCTAGTTAACTAAAATATCCACCAGTGTCTCCTTTATGTGTGTGTATATAGTTTTGTTTTTATTTTTTTACTCTCTATATTTAATCTCTCTACAATGACTTCATGTATTGTGTGAGGTATGGAGCTAATCTTTTTTTCCCCCTAATCACTGAATAATCCACTTTCTCTTTGGGTTCACAATCCTTTATAGTAGTTACAAATACTGAAATAAGCTTTTACATTTTTCTGCTGGCATTCTGAAAGGGATTTCATTTTCCACATCACATTTTTGCTGCTGGTTTTTAGCTATTGGTTTTTATATATTTAGTTTAAACTAGCTACCTTTTTGAATTCTTTTATTAATTCACTCTTTAAGAGAGTGTTCGGAGGATGCAGCATTT